TCGGCATCGTCCTCCTTGACTAGCCTCCCAAAGCGGACGACTTTCTCCACATGCATAGAAGAAAAGTCGAATCCGGGAGCAAGAAGCCGAGCCTGACGAGGAGCCTTTCGGAAGCCCCTCTTATGCTCAACCACGACGGAGCGTTCGACCTCCGCGAGGCTCTCCTTCGTGGCCGCCTTCCCCGCCGCCACCTCTGCGAGCTCCGCCTTCAAGGTGGCAATTTCGTCCTCACGGCCACCAAGTATGACCTTGCCTCGGAGGCGCTCCTCGGCCGCTGCCGCCAACTCTCCCTTGAGAGAAGTTACAACGTCCTCCAGGGCCCGCACCTGGCCTCGGGAAGACGTCACCTCATCCTCCAGAGAGCGCGCGCGCGCCCGGGAGAAGGCAGCGAGCTCCTACAGCTCCCCCACTTGAGAAGCATAAGTCTCATTAGATCGCAGATCCGTAAAACGAATCCATCCCTCTGGGTTCATATCATTCCTTCAGCTTCGCCAGGTCCTCCTGCTGCTTAAACCACCTGTGCTTCCAGTGATCCACAATGACCATGGTCCTCTGCAGGAAGACCTCGGCAGCATCAAGGCCATCCACTGGCCTGACCTCCTCGATCATCCCCTAATCAGTCGAGCTCAGCGAACCCTTGGGGAAGAATCTCTTCGCGGTCACCCCCGCACTCCACAGCGAGTCCATGTCAGCCGAGGCGCTCATGTGGTCTAACCTCACTACAGAGCTGCCCTTCTCAAACCGCTGGGCGATGTACTAGCTCCTAGGAGCCCTCCTCGAGGAAGACGACGCGGTGGCTGCCGAATCTAGGTGTGGATCTTCGGAGCCCGACCCCTTTCCATGGACCTCGGCGGTAACAGAGGTAGGCGCCTCCTGCTCAGTAATGGGGACGCCCACCCCTGGCACTTTTGAGCTCGGAGCCACCGGGACCTTGGCAGCATTCCCTGCCTACAAAAGACAAAAACCTCCCCCTAAGTCAGAAATCAAGAAAAAGGACAATATAGAAGGAAAGCCACAAAGAAAGATACCAACCTCCGCAGCATGGGCAACCTCCTCGGCGGCCACTTGACGAACCCCCTCGGGCGGAGGACTCCCAGTGAGGTCGACTGTGTCGGCATCGGCAGCCTTCGAGGTCACCTCCTCAGCATCGCGAGGGGTAGAGGTCCCCCCAACCTCTTTCTCTCCCCTTTTTCTTTTTCTTCGGGTTTCCAGGGGGGCAACCTCCTCCTCCTGAGGTTTAGGGACCTCAATCTCGGCAACATTGTAGCGAGACTTCAACTCACGCCACTTGTTCCTGCCCATTATGCCTGTAAACACAAGAAATAGATACATCAGTAAAAGACATTTACGAACCCTAGCAACTAAAAAGGACAAGATACTCAATCGCTAGACCCCTCTCCTTGTACGCCGAGTTAGCAAGCGACAGGACGAGCTTGCAATCCAACGGACGAGGGAGTGCTTCAAAATTTGCAATGGCAGCGGTATCCGAGGCTGACAATTACAAGTTCGCCGCCCCGTGAAATCAAGTCGGGGCTGGCCGCCAGTACAGGGGGAACT